ATAATAATGATAACGATAATAATAACGTAGAAACAACACGATATTAAAGGGTTAGTTAGGCGTATATGAGACATGTTTATTCTTTGACAAAAATTTTAAATTATCTGTTTATAATTTGTTATTTTCAGGAAACAAGTTATTAAAAATTAAATCCATTTTTTCCTTTTGAAAAATGTTTCACAGTATTGCTTATAAAATGTGAAATCAAAACTAAATATAAATTTATATTATTAATTAGCTGTCAAAATAAAGTAATAATTTATTTAATTTAAATTAACCACTTATAGGAGAGAAGATATTGGACCTTCATTGAGTTCAAAAATGGTGTAGAGCACATTAAAGTTAAAGTTAAGAATCTAATAAAAGAAAAAGAAAAAAAAGGTGAAGAAGATTAAAACCCTCACATACATTTTATCATTATTATGATTATTATTATTATTAGTTAAAGAGAAATAATATTTATACAATAAATATTACAACTAAAAAAAGAAAATAATTGAAATATAATAAATAACGGAATGAAGAGATAAACATAAAATAAATAAATAAATATATATATATATACTAATATAAGTTGTTATACGTCACCCCTCTTAATTAAATAAGTTTGGATTTATACACATATAGCTGAATCGAACATATACTAAATTCTAAGCCCCACTTATGAAAGAAAATAGCTGTTTGTTTCTGCAAAAACCAACTAATAATCTCCAAAAATGCAATTTCTTCAAACCTACCCATACATAGTTTCGTTCATATACGTAATAAACAACCATTATACATGGCCAAGTCTTCTCATTAATTTCACCTAATGTGAATTTTGGTATATGCTATTTTAGGCATTAAAACATTGCATTGACGTTTAATAACTCATGACAGTCAATGGTCAGAAGTGAAAATATTCAAAATAAACATTCAACCTAGCACATTTGACGACGATGGATCAGTATACGTTTAACGCTTTTTCACTTTTTAATTTCCTTGGTACTACATTTATTATGTTTTTGAATCTGCACTCTTCAATGCAACAACCTAATTTAAAGTAGGTTTAATTATTCCTTTATCCGTATAGTTCACATATATATATATATATATATATATATAATTCTTATAATTAAAACATTGTATTTTATTCTCTTTAAGTTTTTTTTTTTAAATTAAGTCTCCGTTGTCCATTACTTTATAAATTATAAAAAATAAAATAAAATAATTTTAATTCTAAAAATTTAATGAAATTATAAATACCAAAATAGTAAAGAAACCATTTTTTTTTGTTATTAGTAATCTTAATTTTTGCCGCTAAACGAAATCACGAAACGGATTCACACAGAATACGCAAGAAATTCTTGAATAGTTCTATTAAATAGGCTTACGATGTTCAATAAATTAGAAAAAAATGAAAGATTAACTTTGTAATCTTTCTTATGCATAAAAATACAAACTTTAAAGATTGAAAGTAATAAATGAAAAAAGAAGGGAAAATACTAAATAAAGATGGAAGAACATAAATAAAAGACAAAAAAAAAATTGATGGTGGAATTTGATGGGAAATAACAACACAGAGCAAATTCAAACAGTTAACGCAGTGAAAATAAATTTTTCTAAATTACAAAAATTTATGAAGAGCAACAACTAATTAACAACAATAATAAATCACCAAAGTCACACACAAAGATATGAAGATTTTAACATGAAAAACCCTTTAAAACAAGAGTCAAAATCACGAGTTGTCTAGACCAAAGAAATAGTTCCATTATAATCAACGAAGAGTACAAAGGAATCTCAATCAACTGCACAAATCAATGCTAACACCCAGCCAAACAACAAAGCAATAAAGCTTACAAATAGAGACCAAAAAAGATGCAAAGATCCAAATACATAATTATAGTGTGAACTAAATATCTCCCAACTTAGATTTCATATCAACAATCCAACCATTCAAAATGAAGAACCAGATATCTCGGACCTGCTATCAAATTTTCAGCCTGATCTAACGGTGAACGAATCTGCAGTATCGATTTTATAGTTGTAGTTTTGTGTAAAAACGAGAATAATTTTTTCTCATTCTCTCTCAAAGTGCTGGTGTTTAAAATAATTTATGACTTTCCCTCTTTTTCACCTCTTGAACTTCAGACCTCCTCTCAACTTAATTAAATGAGATGTTAAATAAACTTCTCAATTTTGGGTCTTTTCTTGGCATAAGAAGAAAGTTTAATACCCAACAAAATTACATAATCAAATATCAAATAGTTAATAATCACGATAAAAGAGATGTTAGTTATGAGAGAGAATTTGTAAATGAAATTTAATCTAGTTCTGTGGTCTTTACTTTTCCTAATATTTTTTCAAGATACGATTCTGATTATTTTTTATGCCTCTATATATTTTGAAATCTGACCACATCTTAAGTTCCTCCGCATGCTCCTTCAGTTTTCAAAAATCAGAATGTCTTACTCAAACTTTTCAACACTTAATTAAATACTCTACCATACAAGTGCACAACTAAAAAAATTCACGTTTGAATTGCAATTGCCAAAGCCCAAACATTGACTTGAGGAAAACCTTAATTCTCATTCCTCGTAACGTTAACCATCATAACTGACGATTTCCTCTATAAACATGGTTTTTTGACCAACAAATTCCAATTTGTTGATAAAAAAAACCTCAGCACAGAAATCCACTTATACTTAATTAATACAGAAACCTTAGAACGCAGCCATATTCTTAGCGAGTTGTTGAAAGTAAATGCTAATGAATTAATTCATATGGTCAATGAGAATATTTATTCACTAGAACGTCACGGTCAAACCTGCCATCTCATGAGAACAAGTCACTCGAACGAAAAACATAGCAGCCAAGAGTGGCTACAAGATCTCCATAAACAGTATTGTAGTGACTATTTGAAGCATAAGTCTTTAGTTTTCTTCACGAAATTTCCGGCCTCATTCTTTAGTTTCCCAGTTTCACTTACAAGTTACAAAGCTTCAAGCTAAACATCTGTGTTCAATTTTTCCGTCGATGATATGTAATTGGCAATTCAAAACTAAACCAAAAAAAGTGGTTGATACTACCTTAAATGTCCATGTGTCAGATACCAAACCAATCAGTAGCGGCTATAAAGTCCTACCTCAGTGAACATAATTTATTAGTTTAAATATATTTTTAATCTTTTAAATTTAAAATAAATCTGTTTTTGTCTTTTAAATTTAAAATTATTATTTTTAGTTACTGTAATTAAAAAAAATTTATTTTAATTCTTATATTCAAATTTTATTAAAAAATTTATTAAATATTATTATATAAAATTTACCTATTAGTATCTTTATGAGTGAAAATATTACATTAAATCTGGTTGATATTGTATAACTGTCTTAATTAGTCACTTTCAAATACATTATTAATGACTTAAAGGATAAAAACAAGATTTTTAAAAATTACAGAAACTAAAAATAATAGTTTTAAATTTGAGGAACTCCAACGTAGCGAGGAGATTAGTCACTGCTGTCGGCAGTGAATACTCCAGGGACGAACCAAAAAAAATTTGAGGAACTAAAAATAAATTCGACTTAAATTTAAAGGACTAAAAACGTATTTAAGTCTAACTTATTTTATAAAATAAAAATCAATAATTATCATAACGAAAATGATAAAATATAAGGCGAGATGAACTGTGTAGTTCAATAAAACATACGCTATTCAAAAAGATAAAATTAGAACAAAAGATGAGAAAGATGTTAGTTAGTCAAGAGCAAAATTTGACCGTACAGTAACGAATTCGAGTTACTGATTTCAAATATATAAAATTTATGTTAAATTATACTTTTGCTCTTTCAACTTTTAACAAATCATAATTTTATTTTTTCTATTTTAAAATAAAAATATTTTATCTTTTTAACTTTAAAAATATAAAATTTTATTATTTTCATCAAATTAACATTTATTAATAATTAAATTTTAATATTTACTCGTACTTAAATAATATAATACGCAATAATATGATATTTAAAAATAAAAAATAAAAAATATAAATAAATTTTTTATTAATAAAATAAATAACAATTACTCATATATATATATATATATATAAATTTTATATGTTATTTTTAATTTTTATTCTTATACATTACATTACTAAATATCATATCACTTTAGTAATAATAAATCAGTCGATAATATCAAAACTTAATAATACACAAATATTAAGTTGATAAAAGGAATAAAATTTTATATTTTAAAAAATAAGAGAATAAGTATTTATATTTTAAAATAAAGAAATTAAAACTATAAATCAACAAAAATAGAAGGATAAAAGATATAGCTATAACTTAAAATTTAGAGGTAAAATACAAAAACTTTCTCTATACATATATAATTTGTAATTATATCTTTTCAATTAACTTTTTTTTTTGAATAATTACATGAATTATTTTTTTGATTTTTTATTTTTTATTTATTAACTGCACATCACCACTTCTAAAAACATTATTGAAGATAGTATTTGTTTTTCTCTTTCTTATTACTAATTACTTCAATTTTTACATCTTCTACTAAAATAAATATTTTACTATTTCTTTTTTTTATCCAAAATCACTATTTTTATTTTTTTAAAAAAATTATTTAAATAAAATTTATAAATATACAAAATATCTCAATTTCACTTATATATATAAACGTAATTGAATATATTTACATGATAATTATATATAATTTGTATTTAAGAATAATAAGTAAAACAATTATTATATAATAATTATTATTTAGAAATTAAATTTATTTTTAGCAAATAATTTTGATTTGTATTTCATTTTTGGTTTATCAAACAAGGTAAATGGGAGGAGAGGGTAGGGGAAAGGAAAGCGCGGGTCATTTTGGTGTTCAGAGGCGAAGAGGTAATAGGATATGGGCCGATTATTTAGAGAAGAATGAAATGGGCCTAGGAAAGCCCATAGAGCGAGGAACGAAGCCCCTAAGAAAAAGTAAGTAGTGGTTAGGACTTAGGAGTTAGGAGGGGTTTGGACTTTCAGTTGGGTTCGTTTGGGGTTTGTAACAGCAGCACAGCAATCGAAAGAGAAGAAGCAAAAGCAAGTAGACGGTGTGCGGCAAGGCGGAGGCATGGCGGCGCCCGAAACCCCTCTCTGTTATGTCGGTGTCGCCAGGCAATCCGCTGCGTTTCGCCTGATGAAGCAAATGGTACTCCCTCTCTCCGTCGTACACATACATTGAATTTGATTTGATCTAAGTCTATTATGTTGATGTTAGGGTTGGGAAGAAGGAGAAGGTCTCGGAAAAGAAAAGCAGGGTATCAAAGGATACGTTCGAGTCAAAAACAAGCAGGACACTATTGGTTTCTTCTCCTTCCTCCTCTTTTTCATTCCTTTTTATCTCTCTCCTTCTTCTTATTCGCTTCTAAATTCAAACAGGTATTGGCCTTGAGAAGCCAAACAACTGGGCCTTCGACACCACTCAATTTGATGACATCCTCAAGAGATTGAAAGTCGTATGTTTCTCTCTCATGTTTTTGTCCCTTCAATTCTTTTTTTTTTCCTCCCTCTTACGTCTTAATTGAGATCTTCCTCTTTTGCATGACGAGTAGCAAGCGCCGCAATCCCATGACACAGGTATAATCCCATTCATGCTCGTCTCTGATTTTCCCGTGTGAATGTGTTCTGAGCATTGTGTATTTATGAACTGTGACAGACATTGGGGAAAACTCAGATAAGGTGGAAACCAGGGCTAGGGTTCCTGTTGATAATGACAATTCTGTCTCCAAAGCTACAAGACCACAGGGAAGGTTTGTCTCTCGGTCTCCTATTTATAATTTATGATGTTGTCTAGTCTAGATTCAACTCTGCATGGTTTTAACTTTGCTGCTATGTTTCAGGTACACGAGAAGAGAGAGGGGGAAGCTCGTCTCACAATATTCCTTGAAGGATCTTGAAGGAATTCTTGTAAGTTCCAACTGTGACTAGTGGATACACCATTCACTACACCATTCACAACTTTTGTTCATTTCAACTTAATTTCGACAGAGGCAAACCATAGATTTTTATCTCCTCAAATTTTATTGCGCCAGTCGTTGCTTGAAAATCAATGCCCCTTGTGCTTCTTTCTTTTTGAAAAGTCTTGTTACTTCAATGTTAAAATTTAAGTATTAGCTTTTTTTTGGGTGAATTTTACAAATCTAAGTGTTAAGCTAATTAAGCTTCTTAAGTGTTTATTTCAGCTATATTTAATACAAGGTTGTTTATGATGTTGGTGATAGGTTAAAAAGGGTGACATATCTGGGGGTACTGATAATTCTGATGGTGAACTCGACATGTTAAAGACATCTGAAATTCAAATTTTTGAAGATGACGGTATAAGCTTAAACTGAAAAGAAGTTTATGTGCTATTTATGTTAATTGACAACTCATGATATTTGGTTACTGCATTGGTATAGGAAGCAAATGTCTTGCTATACCTCCAAATTGGTGGGGCTACAAATATGGTTTTGTCTCTGGTGGATTTCTTGGAGCAGAATTAAAGAAGAAAAGATCTATGATAGCTGAAAGTGTCAAAAATAGGGCAGAGAGAACTGAGTTTTTCGAAGAGGATCAAGAAAACCTATATAATCTAGTCCAGGTATGTGACCTTATCCCCATTGTACTTTTTACATGCTCTATATTTCATTTTGTTAAATGATAACAGTAATATAATGTGATGTTCAATACTAAGGGTCTGGAGATGCTCGACTGATATCTTAAACTTCAATGCTGTATTGTGTTAATAATTCATAGCCAAACCTAAAAGGTGTAATAATTAACCATATAGTAATTGTTATGCCAGGAGAAAGCCACAACAGGGAAGCAAGGACTGGGCATCAAGGATAGAACCAAGAAAGTAGCTGGCTGCTATTTTCAGGGCAAAAAGACATCCTTTGATGATAGTGATGAAGATTCTGCTGACATTGATTCCCTGGAAAAACAAGCACATGATGACTTAATTAAAGTAGAAAAGATTGTTGCATGCAAAGTGAAGCTGAAAAAGTTGTGCAAACAGATTTTACAACAGGTGAGACCTATTTCTTGTGTTGCAAATATTTTTTCCCCTTTTTAGTGAATTCATGGCTGATTACTTGCTTAATTACAGGCCCCTGGAGAATCATTGAAACTGAAACAGCTCAAAGTTCTTATTGATGAGCATTCATCTTCAATTTTGTCTGATTTTTCTTCGAAAAGAGAGGCTGTATCTTACTTAAAGCAAAAGGTATGGCTACCTTAGTCTTAATTCTATATCACAGTTAAGCAATTCACTTTGAATCAAATATTGTGGTGGTATTGGCAAACACACCAAATTGTATGTGCAGTATAAAATTATAATTCCACAAAGATTGCTTTTTTCACTTTAACAAGTCTTAAACTAATTGAATAATCGAAATTGGATCGACTTACATATTAAAGTTCCCCAAACATGAAACATTAAAATTCAGAAGGGCTAAATTGTAATATTATTTTTTATCCTCTTGTATTATTGTGAAAATTATCTGGCAAAAATTTGTGGATGGACTAAGTGGGGTTGTGGAGAACTACGCGAAATTCTTAACCACAATCTTTTCTTGATAGAAATATTTGATGTTTGAAATGAAGTTATAATTAACTAATATATATCTGGGATCATCTCTTAATGGAGTTCGTGCACTTATTCGTTATTATTCTTGGCGTTCCATGCTATGGTAATATCCGTGCAAATAATGTGCAATTATAATTTCTTGCATCGTCCTCCAGGTTGACACGATTTGATGCTTGATTGCAGCTGACAGGTAGTAGAAAGTTTTGTATCGAAGGGAAAAGAGTGCGATTGGCGTCAAAGAGAAGCTGAAATTTTGATACGTCTTTTTCTCGGCCTTTTTATAATTCATTATATTTTGGGAGAGAAATGGGGGCAGTTCTGAGTTCAGTATAGGTAAATTTTCATTGGTTGGCTATATCAACGTCTTTACAGCATCTAAATAGTATTTTATGAAACTTAATTTGCATTTTTTGTTGTAAGTTGAAAATCTGATAAGTGCGATGTGCCCTGGAATGGATATTAAAATTATCTGTGTAGTGTGCACTCACAGGAATAGTGGATTAACATGGAAAAATTTCAACAGGGTTCCACTGTTTTTTTCAAAAGGAACATATGTATACAGGTTGTTAATTGTGTGTACTTTATTTTAATTATATAAAAATTTAGAAAAAAAAGGTGAAGTTCAAGTAAAAGGGAGGTATTTATTTTTCCATCAATAAAAAAGATTATGACAGTAATAAAGATCGGATGTAAGTTTTTATGTATTTATATAATATCTCATCATTAGGGCAATCCTAATTTTTAAAAGGAAGGTAATTTAAAATAATTGAGAATTTGTTGCTTATTTTTATTTTTTTAATTGAAGGATCAACACGTGAAATTTACATCCAAATAGATAAGAGCACAGATTAAGAATGTCTAATTAAGATAACCGAGGGAATCAAATTCATGCTTCTAATTTGTGTATTTTGTGTATTCTAATTTATATTTTTGGAATAGAATTTACATTCATTAGATTTTATTAATTTTAATTTAGAAAAACTTAGGGTTAAGCAACACTTCCACTCAGGTATTATAAAATGTAATTTGGGCATCAACTTAGTTGAGATTGTTAGTTAAACCATGTGAGATAAATATAGCAATATGAACATTATTATGAGCAACACATATTTGTAGTGTGATGGTTGATATTACGCGAGTTAACTATCACGTCATAACATCGAAATTGACCTATCATTAACCTTGGTTCAAACCGGTTTACATGAATTAGAAGAGTACTTGACCATTTATTTTATACGCGTGGACAAAAGAATAGTGTCTATGGGTACCAAATAGGATAAATTGATAGTGTTGCATGTTATAAAGTAACATGTTTAATAACTTTTAGTAAAAAGTAATAGTGTGTTTGGATGAACAATTTTACAAATTCAAGGAATTTTAAATTATTGGTATTTGAATTACTTTAATTTCAATTTCTATCATTCTTAAAATATTTTGTTTGGATAAGTCAATTCAAATTTATCAAATTTTAAATTGTTGAGTTGAATATGATAATTTGATTCCACCATGGTAAAATTTATTTTAAAAATATATTTATATGTTGATATTTTTAAATTAAATTTTATAAAAATAAATATTAGCTAATTTTTAAATATTTAATAATTTTAAAATTAATATTAGATAATATTTAATAATTTTAAAAATATTTTTGAATATCAATAATTAAAAACATGAAGAGATAAGAGATAAGATAAAATATATAAGTGAAATAAGAAGAAGAAAAAAATGAGGAATTTCAAATTCTTACTTTTTTGGGAGAATTTGAAATTCTTCTATTTCAAGAAATTTCACAAATGTTTGAATTTCAAATTTCTTATAAATTATCCATCCAAACAAGGTATTTCACCTCAAAGAATTTAAAACCCTTCAAATAAATGAATTACTCCATTTAAATTCCCATCCAAACACACTATAAGGGTCGGTTTGAATTACCATTTGCACTCTTATAACTTGTGTTTCCTCGATAAACTCGACTTCATGATATGTTTGATTTGTTAAAATGTGTTAGTTTGGATTGGTTTACTTTAACTATTTTTTTTAAGTGGATTGATTTGACTTAATATAAACTTTAAGCTCTAAATCCTAAATTCACAATCCACAACAGGTTAGTGAACTAAATGGATTGATTCATTCATCCATCTAATTTTTTTTAAAAAATTAATTAAAAAAATTAATATAAAATAATCTCTAATTTAAAATAAAAATTATCAAACTAATCATCATGTATATAATATTAAATTTAATTGAAAAGTGTACAATTTTAAATAATCAAAACAAAAAGATAAAAAAAAATTGTCATTGGAGTGATTGCCCATCAATATCAAACTTGTATTGAAAGCTTGAGTAGATAAATTTATAGCAATTTTAAGTTTATCAATTTTATCTTCATCTACAAAAAAAAATTGATACTTACACACCATGAGTTTTTAGTGAAGTAACTATCAATTATAAGTTCTTAATGTACAAAAGCATGTTAAATTAAAAAGTAAATTTCATTTGAGGCATGAGCAGTTATTCCATCTCATTAATTCAAATTAATGTATAATCTTAAAAATATTTTATATGATTTGAATTAACGAAACAAAGTTTCAAATATATTTAAATTTTTTTAAAAATGTGTAGACTTGATCTATATATGAAATTTTTTTAATTTAATGATTAAATTATTAAAATTTGATATAGAATGTGAATTATTGAGTTAAACAAATCTAGGTAAATTTGCTCTGAAAATAAATGAATTTCTCCTTATATATATATATAGAGAGAGAGAGAGAGAGGTTAGAGCTTATTTTATCTTGTTGCTTCCTAACTCAATTCTCTCCTCTAGATGAAAAATGTACTAGACAAACTAGATAAGAGATTGCATAAGATTATCATATGTTGTTGACATGTCAAATAATACTACATATGTTGTTATATATCATAAACAAATATCTAATTTATCAAAACCAATCAAAGAAGTTAAATTAGTTAGTTGTAATTAATATTGTCATAATTTAAATTTTTATTTCAAAAATACCTATAGAATTAAATAGTATAGTTGGTAGTTACTTTCTCTGTCTCATAATAAGTGTATCCTATATTATTTTATACAAATCAATAAAAGTTAATTAATAGATGAAAGAGAATTGTAATTTTACAAAATTAATCTTGTAGTTAATTTTTGTTAGAAATGATACAACACAATAATCATTTTCTAAAATATATTGCTAGGATTATAAATAAAAATTAAGTAATTAATACTATACTAAAAAGTTAGCATGACACTTATTTTTTGTCTTAATTTTTCTCCTAACGCAACATTTATTATGAACAGAAAGAAATATATTTAATGACACTACTAAAAAATTAAGGAATATATTTTTTATCCAATGAACATGAACTATAGTATTAGTTGTTAATAAATACATTCACTTTCATAAATAAAAAAAAAAAGAAAGAATAAAAATATATTAATAAACTCATAATAAATTAAGAGTATAAAAGATAATTACTAATCAATATATTTAAAAATAAATTCATTTATCTTATTATTAGAATCAAATAAAAGTTTCATTCATTTTTTTTTAATATATATAAACAAAGATAGTAAATTATTATACGATAAATAATTATTTCTTCTTATCTTACTTGCCACCGATCACTCTTTAAAGTTAACTATTGAATTGATAATGCTATGTTCACGCAGAATTATGGCCACTTATTAAGAACTGCAAGCAAGTTGGGTTACTGTTTAACGCCCGCAACCAAGTTGGCTAGTCTTCACATTAATATATGAGTTAATGATTATATACTATTAGTGTAATATTTTTTATACTAACAATCAATTATATCTTTTAAATTATTTTATTTAATTAAATAAGTAAATGATATTATATTATTAAAAGATATGATTGATTGTTAATGAAAAAAAAAATTAACACTGACAATGTATGAGTCGATTAACTCTTAATATATCACACAAAATATTCGGTTTGGAGTGATTAACTCTTAATATATTACACAAAATATTCGGTCTGGAGTTAGGAAGTCGCGGTTTAATTCATTAGAAATAAATATAATATTATTAAATTATGGTCATTGTTTAAGGACCGCAAGCAAGTTGTGTTAGTCTTAACACTCTACTATTTTATTTTTGGTCTATTGATATATTACTTAGGATGTATTTCATAACCTGGCTGAATGTTTATAAATTAGTAGTTAAAAAGTTAAAAATTCATAAATTAATTGATTGAATTAGAAATATTTAACAAGATTAGTTAATTTATTTGATTACTGTAAAATGACGTATTTATTTATTAGATAATGAGTATAATTTTTTAATTAAAATAATTTTAAAATTAAAAAAGATAAAAAATATCAAATAAATTAATAAGGATGAAAAAAAATCACTAAGAACTTATAGTTACAAACTACTTCAATTAGTTTATAAAAACAAGTTATAAGTTTCTAAATAAGTTTTTGTAACAAATAAATTTATTTTGGTAAAATTAGCTTATAAGATAGTTAAAAGAGTTTGTAAACTTTTTGAATATCTTACCTAACACGTTCTTAATATATATTATTTTAGAATAAATACTCTTCTTTATGAATAAAGATAAAGTAAATAGTTTCAATTATTAATGAGAAAATTAAGAATATATATATATATATATATTAAGATTATTTATTTTACTATTTAAAGCAAGTTATCTTTATCGTTGATTTGTTGAAGAGAAAATCAATGGTTAATAACATACTCATAATTTGTTATGCATGAGTACATAAAATTCACTATTGATTTCTTAAGAATAAATGATATTGCTTACTTTAACATTTAAAGTGAGTTGCTGATTTTGTAGAAGTCAAATGTCTCATTTTTAGATTTATCTCATTCAATGTAAGTGAACATGAAGGTAACAGTAAGAAATATCCGATGTTATTGAAAAAATAATTAATTGGTGATATTTCAACTTATCTATATTGATAGTTTCCCGTGCGTTTGTTTTAATTTTCATCATAATTAGAAGCTAAAAAAAATCTACGATAGTACAATCTTATTAAAAATTGGAGCTTTTTTGTTTGTTACAAAATCAGAAGCTATTTTAAAGCAGTTCTCATGCATATAAATAAACATAAATTACCTACTACTTTTTTTAAAAGAAAAAAATCACTACAAAAATCATTAGATTATTTTATACTAATATATATATATATATATATATATATATATATATATATATGTATTCGTAACGGTTATATTATAACTTATAAGCGGGTCTGTGGATGATCCGGCCCATTTCTAGACCCAATGAAAAA